CGTCGAAATCCGAGGCGCGGCCGTCACAAAACGATGGCGAACTCGAGTCCTGGCAAACCCGGGTCTTACGCTCCCCCGAAAGAGACTCCCACTGGCATCCAAGAGGCCTCGGACCTGCCTCAGAGGCACGCTGGCGGGATGGGCCAGGCCCCGCGATGCATCCTCCGGCCTGAATCAAGGAGCGGCCCGAAAACCGGAGCCCCTCATGGCCCCAACGGGGTCCTTCTTTCAAAGCCTCGGCTGCAATCCTCAGCACCCTCTTGGTCCCAGTATTCCTTTAGGCCTACCCCGAACATCTCTTAGCACAGATCACTGTTCTACCAACAAATACGAAGAAGCTCTTAGAAAAGAGCGCCGATGTAGTAAAACAAGACTGTCTCAACCAGACATGTTCTAAGAACATAGTGTGCAATCCACAACTAGACAATTGCGTTCCAGTACTCGCAAAGTAACTACTCGCAAATGGCCTGGATCCGCCGCGGGGTATTTACGGTACATTACATAGAGGATGGCATGTTTTTCATGACGTTTGCGAGTAGGCACTTTGCGAGCAGTGGAACACGCTCGGTGAACAACGGGTTCTTAGAACACTCTTTGGTGAGCCTGTAAGCAAGTCAGGACGCTTCGCCATTGCTTGATCTTGGACGCCCCCGACGATTTGAACATTAACGCGCTCAGTTCTGGAGGTGGCAACGGCGCTGCTCAGGGGGGCCGCGGCACCTGGCGAGCAGCAGAGGCAACGGCAACCGTGCGTCAATCCTCACCGCGAACGCCTGCCTCGTCTGGATGCTGGCACTGCGGCCTGCATCTGCAGACCCGATGGGCAAAGCTTCCACCACCACTACAAGATGTAGGACGGGGGAGTAGGGAGGATGAGGAGGTCCTCCTCCTCCTCCTCCTCCTCCTCCTCCTCCTCCTCCTACCAATGGTAATGCACACGGGGCCCATCAGACCCTGCATCCGCGACCCGGCTTGACGGCTTCGCTCCCTCGCCGCTGCTGGCCGCACCCTGCGCGCTGCTCTGACAGTCGTCCCCCGGCCGTCTGCTGGACACCTACTGCCGCTGCTCCTCCTCCTCCTCCTCCTCCTCCTCCTCCTCCTCCTCCTCCTCCTCCCTCCTTCTCCTCCTCCTCCTCCTTCTCCTTTTCCTCCTCCTCCTCCTCCTCCGCCTCCTTCCCGACCGCTGAGCCAATGCCTGGACGCCCCCGCCACGCCACATCGAACTGACGGGGCGAACCCCAAGGCAGGTGCTGCAGAGCGGGACGGGGGCGAAGGACGGAGGAATGACGCGAGGAGTAGTATGAAGGGAAAGGGGCAGGAGGGAGCAGGAGGGGGGCGGAGCGGGGAGAGAGCACTCCCTCCCTTCCCCGGACCTCCCGACAACTCTCCATGAGCACTACTTCATGCCTGATCGCGTGTCCATGGCCCCGGAGCCCGAAGACGGCGCCCCAAAGCTGAAACAGGCGAGGAGGGACGTACCGAATCGTCAAGGCGTCGGGGTCCAGTTCTTCCCTCGCGGAGGCTTTTCGACGGCGGCGGCCCATCGCGCCCGGCGCGCGGCTGGCTTCGGGGGCAAGTCGGGAGAGGCTGCGTCCAGACAGAGGAAGCCCAGACGGAGGCCAAGCACTCGGTGCGGACCTGCTTCACGTGGACTCAGCATTCTATCAGGAGCGGCTGCGCGAGTCTGGACGGAGTAAGCCCAGACGGAGGCCGAGCACTCCGTATGGACTTACTCCGTATGGACTCAGCATCCTCTGGGTAGATCTCACCCCTCTGGGCTTGTCCAGGGGTGCCACGCTGCCACGCTGGCGAAGACAGTCAGGGCCGATTGGAGAGGACACGCGGGAGGACACAAGACCCTTCCGAGGGCCAGATTGCCACAGGAATGTAGAAGGCGTGGGCCGGGAAACATAGGGCACAAGGATGCCCTTGATTTGGCAGGGTCGACCTACAATTCCACCTCGACTGCAGCTGGGCGTGACGTCTGAGCTCACTTGTCAGAGGCCATGCTTTCGCTTGGTGGCTGGGAGCGGCCATGTTTTGTAAAGGGCGGACGTAGAAGCCTGACGGACATGTTCCGCAGGCGCGGGACTCGGGTCTTTCTCCGTCCTCCTCCTCCTCCTCCTCCTCCTCCTCCTCCTCCCTCCTCCGCGGACATGTGCGCATGTTCCGGGCTTGTCCAAAGGTGCGTGCTGCCCAGAATCTCGGGAAGGGATCCGGCCGTGGCGGCGGGGAGCGCCCTGGAGGCCCCCGCAGGCTCGAAGCGCCTCGCGGCGCGGACCGTCCGACGCCGAGACTCTGTCGCGGCGTGGCTCCCCAGAGGTCTGGGCCTCCTCCTGGGGACTGGCCCCTCGTTCCGATCGGGCGGGCGGTAGTGCGGGGGGGGGGACCCGAATGGGGGGGGGTGAAGACACAGGCCCCACAGGGGCCCTTTCGGGCACCAACTGGCTCCCGAAGGGGCCCTACTAAGGCCCATTTCTACTCCCGCCCATTTCGGGGATGGACAGACCCCCCTTTAGTAAAACGTGGTTTACTGAAAACGACCTGAGGCCCAAACCTGGCGTGCGCAAGCGTGCAAAATAACGGCCACGGCGCCCTCTCGAGAACCGAAAACGGACAATTCACTAATCGACGTGTCACTGTTGGGGGTTCTGTCCACCCCCGAAACCACCCGCCCGATCCAAACCACGTGTTGATGGTCCAGGGGCCTGCTGTGGCCCCCCTGGAGGCGATCTCTTCACTGCACCGACCCTGCAGATGTACTGGAGCGGAGTTTTGCACGGATGCCTGTCGACGCAAAAACCCAAAAACGGCGAGCGAGAAACGGAGTGAATTTCACGGGGATTTTTTTGGTAGTCTTCATTCCTGGACAAAGAAAATCTGCACGAAACTGACTTCGAGATCCGGAACGAAATTCTCCAGGACAGTCGGGGCCCATTCCGTTGTTTTCCGAACGAAATCCGCTCTGCGATGTTGGCGTGATTCTTTTCCTCACGGACATCAGGCAAGGCAGGAGGAGGAAGCCGCTGCCCTTTGGGAGGGCTATATCCAGAGCGCAGGGTCCACGGACAAGCATAGCATGCGCGAGAGGCAAAGCGCCGGGCCAGTGCAGAACTATCTCGCCCAGAGCGTGCCAGCAACAGCTCAAAAGGCCGTCCTGGAAGCGTGGCCGAACCCCTCTGGAGGCGATCTTGTCACGATGCGAGGATGTCTATAGAAGAAGAAAACTACGCCATAAACGTGAGCTTTTGGCGCTCTGCGCGGATTTCTTGGATCTGCGCTGGACCCCCCTCCCTGGCGCGCGGAGCGCGCCAGGGGCGGCGTCGGAAGCGCCGCCGAGGGGGTCCAGCGCGAATCCAAGAAGCACATGCGGAGCGCCAACAGTTTATGCCTATGCCGCTTTTCCTTCTCCGATGGAAACGTGCCCGACCCCCCCTGGAGGCGGTCTTGCCACGACGCGAGGATGTCTAGGGAGGGCTGTGCCTTCCTTCAGCCTCGACGGCGGCCGCCGCCGCGCCGGGCGCTCTCGAGAGCTCGATGCTCGCAGGGTCCTCGGAGCAGGAGGATGGAGGAAGGGGGGGAGGGACAGAGAGCCCGATGCTTGAAGGGTCCTCGAAGCAGGAGGACAGGAGCCTGGGGGAGGGCTGCTGCGAGGGCGAGGGGGGAGGGCTCACCACGCTCGCGCGGAGCACTGCGGGCTTGCTCTGGCTTGTAGTAAGGGAGCGAGGAATTACGTCAGCATAACACCTCGGAAATCCGCGCGGATTTCTCGGATCCGCGCTGGGCCCCCCTGGCGGCGCCTCCGGCGCCGCCCCTGGCGCGCTCCGTGCGCCAAGTGGGGGGGTCCGGCGCCGATCCGAGACATCCGCACGGCCCTCCGGAGCTCTTTTGCTCATGTCGTGCTTCGCTCCCCCCAATGCATGCGCCCCCACGGCCGCCCAAGGATCGGCTGCACGCATGAGTGACCCTGGGCAAGAGTGACCTCTGGCGCGCGGCTGCTTGGGGGGGGCGCGGGGAGACCAAACCTGGGCGCGCAGGCCGCTGCTCCTGCTTCGTGGTCTTTTCAGCCATCTGAGGACGTATCTGTTCGGGGATGGACAGACCCCCCTTTAGTAAAACGTGGTTCAGTGAGAACGACCTGCGGCCCAAACCTGGCGGGCGCAAGCCTGGAAAATAACGTCCACGGCGCCCTCTCGAGAACCGAAAGCGGACAATTCACCAATCGACGTGTCACTGTTGGGGGTTCTGTCCACCCCCGATCCGTGCCCGCACCAAAAGGTCCCTCTGGCGAAGGGTCACTCTTGCGTCTGGCCGAGAGGGCAGCGCCGCGGCCGTGGCGGGGACCGCGCCCCAGGCTGGCCAGCCGCCGGGCCCTCCGCGGGTCAAGGGAGGTGCGAGAGCCGCGAGGGGCGGGGCCTCTCTCGAGCCCGCCGCCGCGAGGGGCGGGGGCCGCCTGGGCGGGGAAGGCGGGGGGGGAAGGCTTAGCTCAGGTCGGGCCTGTCCCCGTGCAGGCGGATCCTGGACCCAGAACAATCGGGTCGGGCGAAAGGGGGGTATAGCAAAGGGGGGGTTTGAGAATCAGCTCATGTAGCTGATTCTCCCGGCGCCTCCTGGCGCCGGAGGCGGCTATGTATCGAGGAATGGGCCCCTCGGTGGGGCCGAAACCAGCTGCACGCAGCAAATTTCGTAACCCCCCCTTTCCCAATCCCCCCCCCCCCTTTCGTCCGGCCCGAAACAAGAACAGACAGTCAAAACATACCTCCCAGAAGGAGCAGAGATGGTCGACGGATCGCCCCCAGACTACGCTGTGACTGCTGTTGGCTGTGCCTCCTGTAGGGGGACAGGCCCGACTCCAGGGAAGGGGGGGGGGGCGGGTGGGGCAGAGCGAGCGTGAGCCCGGTGTCCGACGCGGGGCGCCGAGACAAAAAGCAGGAGCCAGTGCGGCTGCACGCGGATTGGGGAAGCGCCGCGCGATGCGCCGCGGAAGGCCGCCTTCGGAGTCAGCGGGGCGACTGCTCTGCGCCCAGCATGCCCGCCTTGCTGCGCAGGAGGGCCCTGCAGCGCAGGGAGACCTTCTGGGTGCGCGCGTTGACCTTGTCCCTCTCTGCCTGGTCCGGGTTGGCCTCGGCCTGCCACGTCTCGTTCCACTTGCAGATGTTGCGGCCGAGGTTGTCGGCGAGCCCGTCCAACTGGGGGAAGAGCTGGACGCAGACCTCGCAGAGCGGGGCGATGACGAACTCGATGAAGCCGACCTGGGAGTTGGGCCGGCTGACCTTCGTGCGGTCGTTCAGGAACTGAACGGGCATGCCAAGCTCTCGCTCCTTGTCGCCCTGGGCGAAGAACTCGTCCAGGACCATGTCGGCCCACCTGCGGCAGAGCTCCCAGGGCTTCATCGCGTTGGAGATGTCTGCGCAGTGCAGAAGTGCGTTCAGCGTGGTCTGGACATTCTGCTGGGACTCGTTCACCACAGACCCGGGGCTCAGCTTGTCAAAAGTGTCGGAGTTCATCTGGTAGAGCAGACCGAGCTCCTTGACCATGTCATTGTGCTTGATCATGTCCGTGTGCAAAATGGCAGCAATGATGCCCTTCCGCACCTCCTTGTACAGGTCCTTGTCAAAGTTACAAAATATATTACATTCCTGATTCTTCACGATGTGGAACAGCTTCGAGCAGTGCATCATCTCCATCGGTGACGAGTCATTGTACTTGAGGGCAAGCTCGTGAGAGCTCTCCATCAAAAACTGGTTGTTCAGGCCCAAGTGCCCAACGTCGTGCGCTACGGCCGCGACGAGCAGGAGATACTCTGACACCTGGGAGATGAAATTGCCTGCGTCGATCAAATGCATGTACCTCGACACGGAATAGAGCACGTCTACGCCGTGAGAAAAACTATGGAAGTGGTTCGGCTCGTAGCCTTTCTCCAAGACGCACAGGAATTGTCGCAACTTCTCGCCGTCAACGTTCTCGCCTACCCACCACGAGTTGAACCCCTTGTGCATAATGATGAAGCCGCAGGCCCCGAGCTTCAACTCCTTTCCCCACTCCAGCACGTCGCAGTTCTGCGAGTCCAGGGACACGAGCACGTCGGGCGGGATGCAGTCCATCATGAAGTTGCCATCCTTGCTCTGCGTTCTCGAGCACCGGTTCGGCGACCTCGAGGGAGACCTTTCGTCTGCGTCCGTCGGGTTGTTATCCGCTGAGGCCATGGTTCCCACCGCCAGCATCGTCATCGAGTTGCGGGGGCGCGGTCCCACCAAAGCCGAGGCGCCGCCGTGCTGCGGCGGCACGGCCGAGGTGGTGCCCTGCATCCAGTTGAGCTTGATGACGTCCTCCTCCTTCATGTTGCTGTTGACCTGGGGCTCGTGGTTCAGGGTCGACAGCGAGGCGATGGCGGCCAGCTTCTTGAACACCTCCTCCAAGAGCAGGAACTCGTTGTCCTCGTCGTCGTCGTCGTCGTCTGGGGTGTCGTTCTGGATGCCCGCGGCGAACCTGAAGATCTGCTTGCAGTGCCCACGCACGACGCCCAGCATGCGCTCGAGGGGCGTGAGCGCCACAACAGCGATGCTGTTACTCATCAGCAGGCCGAACCCCAGCATGACCGTGATGACGAGAACGAGGGAGGCCATGTTCGCCGTCGCCTCCTGTTGGGGGGCGGAAAGATACGGATACGTGTTGTCCCCGGACCTCTCTTGGGGTGCGTTCTGACCAGAATTTCGAGGCGAATCCAGCGGTGACAACGAGGATTCCCCAGGAGGACCAGGAAAGGCCGAAAACGAAGGGGGACAACACGTATCTGTATCTTTTTCTCCCCCGATCCTGCGCCTCGACGAGCGACATGTCGTAGAACGCCTGGAAACTATCCGAGCTGACCTCTCGCACAGAGGCCTGTCGCTTGGGGTGCTGGAACGAGGAGTCCATCGGCAGGGCGAGGACCTGCCCGGCGAGCTGCAGGGGCTGGCAATCGAAGACGTCTGTCCCTGGGAGCACCTGCCCGTAGCAGACCCGGTAGGGCCCGTACTGCTTCTCCCCGTAGAAGTCGGAGAAGCGCTGCAGCTCGGACAGCAAGCGCGCGATGACTGCCTGCCCGTCCTAGCAGAGGATCAGAACCATGAACAGAAACTTTTGGCGCTCCGCGCGGATTTCTCGGATCTGCGCCAGACCCCACTTCCTGGCGCGCGGAGCGCGCCAGGGGCGTCGCCAGGGGGGCACAGCGCAGATCCAAGAATCCGCGCGGAGCGCCAACAATTCATGTTTATGGCGTTTTTTTTCGTTCGGCGTCCGGCGAGCCCGAGCTTTCCATCACCTCCTTCACGTTCTTCGCGAGCAATTCGGCCCACGTGGTGAAGGAGTAGTCCCTCTCGGGGTAAGCGAACAAATTGAAGACAGGCATCATCACTACGATGCTAATGGTCAGAAAGGCGACGCGCTGTGCCAATACGGTGTTCAACTGGTTGGTAATCACAGTCGCCATCTTCACCTTCCTCTGGTCGGTCTGCCGGACGTACAAGAACGGCATGAACCGGAGGATCTTCAGCACCCGGCTCAGGCGCCCCGCGCGGGCGCCCAACTTCGCCGCGCGCGCTGCGCGGACGAGAATAACATTGTCGCTGGCGCTACTGTCGCGCACCGTCTCCGGCACTGTGGCGTCGGACCCCAGCATGTAGGAGATGTCGAACAGCATCGAGAGAGTGCCGATGAGGTCCATCCAGAAGAAGAACCCCAACGGGTAAGTGCTGTCCGTGAGAACCAGCCCCACGAATTCGTACAGAAAGACCGCGAACACCGTGGTGAGGACAATGTCGAGCTCGGTGTTCGACGGGACCTGGAGCACGATGAATGCATCGTACAGGAACAAGGCGTTGAACAAACATATTATCGTCAAGAGCGAGAAGAACTTGCCGCGGATGATCGGGGATGGACATACCCCCCTTTAGTAAAAACGTGGCTCAGCGACAACGACCTGAGGCCCAAACCTGGCGGGCGCAAGCCTGGAGAATAACGGCCACGGCGCCTCTCGAGAACCGAGAACGGACAATTCACTCATCGACGTGTCACTGTTGGGGAAAGTCTCAGGCGAAACGCCCGACCCACCCCTAAAAACTGGTTTCGGGCTGCGACGGGGAACAGTTATTCATGAGGGAAAGGGGTGGAGGAGGAGAAGGGGGGAGGAGGAGGAGGAGGAGGAGGAGGAGAAGGAGGAGGTGGAGGAGGAGGAGGGGAGGAGGGGGGAGGAGGGCGGAGGAGGGTTCTGTCCACCCCGCTCGGGAGACCATCTGCTGTCAGCTCTGCGTCCCGAGCGGCCGCGTCGCACGCGCGTCAGAGGAGGAAGAGGTACCCACACCTCTACCCCTCCCCTCGCCTTCCCCTGTTCGGGCCTCCTGGGCCTCCGTCGTCGCCACCGCTGGATTCACTGTTGGGGGTTCTGCCCACCCCCGACAAGAGGCCCACGAAGGGGGCAACGAGGGGGAAAGGTCATGGGCAACTTTTCCGTTCTCCACCTCCGATGTTGCTCGATCGGCAGAGGAGGCGAGGAGGAGGAGGAGGAGGAGGCGGAGGAGGAGGAGGGGGAGGAGGAGGAGGAGGAGGGGAGGGGGAGGGGGAGGGGGAGGAGGAGGAGGAGGAGGAGGAGGAGGGGGAGGAGGAGGAGGAGGGACTTCCAGGAGGGCTCTGTCCACCCCCGAGATGAACCTGCGGCACGACACGGCCGTGCTGGACTCGTACCAGTCCCGCGCCGCCCACCGGCCCGGCTCGGCCGCCCTCGGGAGGTGCACCGCGCCCATGCGAAGGGGCCCCAGGACACACAAATAGATACTCCAGATCTCGTAATAAAAGGGAGGGGGGCTGGACCCTCCAAGACAAGCCATTTCAGACCCCCCCCCCATGGGAGAACCCTCCAAAACATCGTCCCCAGACCCCCCCAGGCCCTCCAAGATAGCCTGGAAGAGACCCCCCCCGAAATGAGACCCCCCTCTCTTTATTACGAAATCTGGAGTACACACAAATAAAAAGATCCCCCATCTTTTTCCATATCTTCTGGGTTTCTGTCTTCCCCCCCACCTCCCATAATTTTCCCATATTTTCTGGGGAGTCGAGGGTTCATAGTGTCCGTGTGTTTCTTTCCCTCCTGATCATGCTCGTCTTGGGAGCGGACTCGTGCGAGGCGGAGCGCCTGTACAGGATGCTGGTCGAGTTCTTCGAGCTGGTGCCGCCCTCCCGGGCGCCCTCTGCCCCAGACGTGTAGGAGCGCTTGTACAGGATGTTGGTCGAGTTCTTCGAGGGAACCTAGGGCTCCCAACTTCGCGCTTCGCGCTGCGCGAAGCGCGAATAACTTCGCGCTCTCGCGCCGCCCTCCCAAAGGGAGAATAGGAGGACGAGGAGGAGGGGGAGGAGAAACGAGGACCGCGAAGCGCGAAGCGCGAATAACTTCGCGCCCTCGGGGGAGCCCTTGGGGAACGCGGGTCGAATCGTGCAGCGGGCTCCCGCACCGCGGGCTCGAGGCCACGTCCGCCGCCGGCGCCACCCTGGCGGTCGCCGCCCCTGCGGGGCGCCTCATGCGCAGCGGCGCGAGGGGACGGACGCGAGCGGCCCCAGCATGCGCCACTGGGAGAGGCAGATGGGGAGAAGGGCGGAGGGGAAAAAGAGCGGGGGCAAAAGGGAGGGGGGGTGGTTCTCCAGCGTCAGCTTGAGCCCAAATGGCTACGGGGAGGGCGAGGGGTAATTGATCTAGGAAAGGGAGGAGGAGCAGGAGAAGGTTCAAAGGGACAGATCGCTTGGGGGCAGTGCCGGAGTGTCTCTGCCACACTTCTGAGCCCCTGTGTGCTAAATATGGAAGCAGGCTCAAGTCATGGCATGCGAGCCTGGCCGTGCCTAGGACGTCCAGCCGGGGCACTTCGTGCCGTCCCCGGGGGCCCGCCAAGTGGGGAGCGCGGAGGTAGGAGGAGAATCGACTTGGACTCGGGCCCCTGGGCGGAGGAGCAGGAGACTGAGCAGGAGGAGGAGGATGAGCCAGGAGGAGGAGCCAGGATCCAGAGCAGGAGGAGGAGGAGGAGGAGGACCGACGCCTCAGGTGATGTTCGCCTCGCAGCCTGCCTGAGGTCAAAGGATGAGGATCCAGGAGGAAGCAGGAGGAGGAGGAGGAGGAGGAGGAGGAGGAGGAGGACCGACGCCTCAGGTGATGTTCGCCACGCAGCCTGCCTGAGGTCAAAGGATGAGGAACCAGGAGGAAGAGCAGGAGGAGGAGGCCCAGGGACACACGAGTAAATATACACAAATCCCAGGATTCCCCCTACCTTTCCCTATTTCCTGGATGCTCATATTCCGCCCCACTTCCCAGATGTTCCCACATGAGTCGAGGATTATTCGTGTCGAGGTGTTTCTTCTTCTCCTAACATGGAAGAGGACGGGGCTAGAACATCTTCACCACGACCACCTCCCTCGCCCCCTCCCTCCCCCACGTGAAAGAGGCGAGGCAGAGGAGAAGAAGGGGAGGGAGGAGGAACCTGGATGTGGTGGTGGTGGTGGTGGCGTATATCCACGGGGGCCCGCAGGGAGGACGTGGTGCCGCGTCCAGCAGCCTCGACGACTCGACGGTCGGCCATGTGTACTGCTGGAAGCAACCGGGTAAAACAGAGCTAGTAGGATCAGGATAAATCGCTCAAGAGCGTTCCAGAGCGCTCTCAGAGCGTTCCGGAACGCTCTGGAGCGGCCGCGGCGCCCAATACATCCTCCACACCCGCCGATTCTCAGAGATGTCGAGTTATCCCGATCCGATTTTGTCCCGATCTTCGCGTCTTTTTAACCGGGGAGGCCGGGGGAAGATTCGATCCTGGGCCCGAGCAGCAGAGGCGCATCCCCTTCGGCCGCCGGGCGCCGGCCCGCCGCGGGGCCCGGGCGCGCGGCCGCCTCGGGGCCCCCGCCGGGCGGGCCGCCGCCGCCGCCCCGTGGGCAGCCGAGGCCGCGGTTGCGGCAGCACCACGTCCTGGCCGCTCGGGGGGGGGGGGTTCGCCACGCGCTGGGCCGCTGGGGGGGCCCTTCTTGGGGCACCACGTCCCCCTGACCTTCCAGGAGGGCTAAACAATAGCACGCGACTTAAAAACCGATCCCAGAGCTATTCAATGTCTTGGTTTTAGGCTGTTTCGTGTCGTTCAAAAAAGGATTTTTAGGCCTCCCGTGCTAAACAAAAATAGCTCTCTGGAAGGTCAGGGCCTGGCCGCTCGGGGTGGGGGTGGGGCTCGCCACGCGCTGGCCCATTGGGGGCCCCCCCCTCGGAGGCCCTCGTTGCCACCGCCGGGTTCGCCCCGAGACATCCTGGCCAAGGGGCGCCCCGGGAGAGGCCTGGGGGCCTCGCGCCGGACAAGCAAGCAAGACATCGGAGGCAGGGCGTCGGCGAAGCGCAGGGGGGGCGTGTGGGAGGGGAGCGGGGGAGACTTCTTAGGAGGAGGCTGCGTCCTGGAAGGCACGGGCCGTAGACCTGTGGAGGTGGGGCCGCCGCCTTCTGGGAAGCAGCCTCCTTCTAAGAGGTCTTCCCCCCTCCCCCTAACCCCTTGTGCGTGCCGCCAAAGGGAAGTATCGAGGATCGGGGAGGCGGTCGAGGAGAGGGGGGGATCGACAGGGGGTTCGGGCAGCGGGACGGGGGTTCAGGATCGGGGAGGGGTTGAGGATCGGGGATGGATCGAAGGGGGGTCGGGGGTCGAAGAAAGGGATATCGAGGAAGAGGAGGAGGACCAAAGCAAATCCGAGATGCGTCGACGCTGCTGCAAAGTAGCCTCCCGTCCGAAGTCCCACTCCTGCACATGTTCCTATCTGCTGCGGGAAACGCCCATTCAGGAACGACGAGCGCACGTTCAACACTTGCTCCGTTTCTGCGCCCCCGACGCGCCGCCAGGGCGACCGTTCCACTGCATACTTGTACGCTTCCCTGATTCGGGCAACCCGCCTGGCCTGGCGATCGGTTCTGGCTGGGCTGGTGGGGGTATTTTTTTGGCGCGCGGGCGCGCGAAACGGGTCGAACGCCCGCGCAGGCAGGGGCAGGCCGTGCCACCAGCGGAGGGAAAAACAGAGAGGCGAGCAACGCCATGCTCGCCATCGCTCGGACGTCTGTTCCCTGTGTTTTTTTGTTGGTTTCGTGCGTGGTTTTTTCGCCAAATGATCAAGGATGCTCCTCGAGATGGTCCTCGCCGAAAAAATGCACAAGTCCGAGAGATGCCAAGAGAGCGGGACGGAACCCAGCGCGGCCAAAGTGGCGCGCGCGGCACCACGAAGCGACACCGGGAGCACGTCCAGGTAGGTGCCGAGCGGGATGCATATGCAGTGGACGAGCGACACTCGCGGGGATACCGTCAACCCGTATAAGAAGAATGCGCGGTGAGGATGCAAAGGCCTTGGAGGGCCACGCTGATGTTTTCTTTATGAGGCTGGCCAGCGAGAGCGGCCGAGGATGGACCGAGGAGGCAAGGATGCAAAGGTACCCTTGGGAAGGGTGCCCATCCTCAATGCTGGTCGACCGTGCTGTTTTTTGGTCGCGGCCGCGGGCGAGAGCGCAAGCTGCGAGTCGTAGTCCAGGGCGCGGGCCTACGAATTAGAACAGGAGCTAACTAGAGCCGCGCACCTAAACTGCCGAAGCGGCCCAAGCGGCGCCTCGCGTGCGCTGCGAACTGCACTGCGTGTGGATGCCAGCCAGGGCCAGGGGCAGAACGCGTCCACACAGCGTCCATGCAAGGCGCTGGTCGACCGTACGCGAAGCGTCAGGCGTGTTCCTTCCCTCCTCTGCGGGGGACGCCCGAAAGGTTGAGCGGGCTACGCGCGGGCCTCATGACACAGCGACCGAGCGCGGGATCAGAACCTACTGCCGGGGGGGCAGCTGGCTGATGCTGAGCTGGCTGAGCTGGCTGCAGGCGGCCAGCTGGCCATCGCTCGGACGTCCATTCCCTGTGCTTTCTTCGGTTTCGTGCGTGGCTTCTTCGGTCGGCAAATGATCAAGGATGCTCCTCGATGGTCCCCGCCGGGGAAAAAACGCACACGTCCGAGCGATGCCAGGCCAGTGCTGCACGGTAGGCCTTATATATTATATATATATATATATATATATATATAATATATATATATAATATATATATATAGATATATATATACAGATATATATATATATATATATATATATATACAGGGGGGTGGCCCGGTGGGTTCCCCATTCGGCCTGAAGATGAAGACTCTATTTGAAGACTCTATTGTGTTGAAGACTCTATTTGAAGACTCTATTCGCCTGACGCTCGATGACGCCTGTGACGCCTCTATTCTGGCTGACGCCTCTATTGGCCTGACGCCCGATGACGCCTCTGACGCCTCTATTCGTCTGACGCCTTTATTCGCTCGGCGCCGTATTTGAGTTGTCGTTCCTATGCGCCAGACGATCGCTGACACCCGTGACGCCTTTATTCGGTGTGACGCCTCTATTCGGCTGACGCCCGCTGACGCTCCTGACGCCTCTATTCTGCCTGACGCCTCTATTCGCCTGAAGACCGATGACGCTCGTGACGCCTCTATTCCTCTGACGCCTTTATTCGGCTGACGCTCGATGACGCCTGTGACGCCTCTATTCTGGCTGACGCCTCTATTCGGCTGACGCTCGCTGACGCTCCTGACGCCTCTATTCTGTCTGACGCCTCTATTCGCCTGAAGACCGATGACGCCCGTGACGCCTCTATTCCTCTGACGCCTTTATTCGGCTGACGCTCGATATGCCCCAAATCACACAAAAAACACTGAAAATCATCAAAATATGCCCAAAATCACTAAAAAAATATGGAAATCGTTAAAATATGCTCCAAATCATTAAAAAAGATTGAAAATCATTAAAATATCCCCCAAATCACAAAAAAAAACACTGAAAATCACTAAAATATTCCCAACGGAGAGGGTCGCCGGGAAGCCCCCCAACGGGCCCTGTCCGCGGCGGGGGGTCTCCCGTGGAGAATCTGGCCCCGATTCCCCACCAGAGACCATCCGCCGCGGACAGGGGGCCCGACATCATGCCAAATCCAAGGCCCGACACCATGCCAAACGGGACCGCCGCGGACGGGGCCCGACACCATGCCAAACGGGACCTCCCGGGGCGGGTTTTCGAAGGCCCGACACCATGCCAAACGGGACCTCCCGGGACCATTATTACCCAAAACTGCAAAAAAACACTAGAAATCATTAATATGGCCAAAATCAAAAAAAAAAACACTGAAAATCACTAAAATATACCCAAAACTGCAAAAAAACACTAGCCCTGTCCGCGGCGGGGGGTCTCCCGTGGAGAATCTGGCCCCGATTCCCCACCAGAGACCATCCCCCGCGGACAGGGGGCCCGACACCATGCCAAATCCAAGGCCCGACACCATGCCAAACGGGACCGCCGCGGACGGGGCCCGACACCATGCCAAACGGGACCTCCCGGGGCGGGTTTTCGAAGGCCCGACACCATGCCAAACGGGACCTCCCGGGACCATTACTACCCAAAACTGCAAAAAAAACACTAGAAATCATTAAAATATGGCCAAAATCACAAAAAAAAACACTGAAAATCACTAAAATATACCCAAAACTGCAAAAAAACACTAGCCCTGTCCGCGGCGGGGGGTCTCCCGTGGAGAATCTGGCCCCGATTCCCCACCAGAGACCATCCCCCGCGGACAGGGGGCCCGACACCATGCCAAATCCAAGGCCCGACACCATGCCAAACGGGACCGCCGCGGACGGGGCCCGACACCATGCCAAACGGGACCTCCCGGGGCGGGTTTTCGAAGGCCCGACACCATGCCAAACGGGACCTCCCGGGACCATTACTACCCAAAACTGCAAAAAAAAAAACTAGAAATCATTAAAATATGGCCAAAATCACAAAAACAAACACTGAAAATCACTAAAATATACCCAAAACTGCAAAAAAAACACTAGCCCTGTCCGCGGCGGGGGGTCTCCCGTGGAGAATCTGGCCCCGATTCCCCACCAGAGACCATCCCCCGCGGACGGGGCCCGACACCATGCCAAAAACTGCAAAAAAAAAACACTAGCCCTGTCCGCGGCGGGGGGTCTCCCGTGGAGAATCTGGCCCCGATTCCCCACCAGAGACCATCCCCGCGGACAGGGGGCCCCGCACCATGCCCGGGGCGTGGCCCGGGACACCA